TGGAAAGAATGGCAGGGTGACCTGCCTTAGACCTGCTCCTCTGTTTCACAAGTGAAAAAGCTGAGTCTTTGCAGTCAACATGGGCATTGCAGGCTTTGACTTTAGCCTCTACAGGCTGATGTTTAGCCTCTATAGGCTCAAGCGTTTAGCCTCTACAGGCTCAAGTGTTTTTTGTGTTCCAAACATATTTTTTAAAAAAGACTTGTTGTACATAGCGTTTTTGTGAAATTGTTTATTTCAAAAATATTGCCCAGACCAAAGAAATATCCACAATGGAAGTATTTTTTAAACAAAATGAATATGATTTTTGGTTGTTCAATGATACATTTTGAGAATTACTAACTAATTAAGGAAATTTATAACTAGTTAGGAAGTACTTAGCTAACTATGTTAATGTCCATAACATATAAGCAAACCACCAGAACATCAAAGTACACCAACAAAACGATTGTCTCTTTGCCGACATTTTTGACTTTGTTGCGCAGCTTTTGCAAACGCGGGTGAATTTTCAGGCTGATCCCTCAAGCTCTCCTGCGATTGCCAATAGTTTAGCCTTCCTGAACTGGCACGACCCAATCGCTGTCACTGATAAGCACGGGTTTCGATCTCGACCGCTCACGTATTCGAGGGGCTCCAGCTTTCTGGGTGCGACGACGCCACTTCCTCCATTGACGCCATGTTGGTGAATCAAATTGCTGTCCTTGCACTGCAATCAGCTGAAGTCATTGAGCTTCTTGGTAACCAACACCGTCCCTTGAAGTTCACAATTCACTGGCCTACCTTGAAGCAGCGCGGGCTTGTTCTTTTTAAAGCCGCTCCCATTGTGATCAATGATGCTGAAGGGTGTTCATCTAACCCGCCGGCCCCAACCCAAACTGGTCACTTTGATGCGTTGCTTGATGCTGCGGACACAAGTGAAACAAAATGGGAGATTGTGAACAATAGTCTCATTCATCAACTTGTTCAGCAAGGTGCCACTTGGGGAAAAGGACCCCATACGCCTGGGAAACCTCCAGTCTTTGTTTCCAAGCGCGTTGCTCCCAAGCAGCTTCGCAATACCTGCGCAGCCGCTGCAGCCACAAACAAATCGAGCGACGTATTTAAACTGGTTGGCCGTCGCAATGAACTGCATTGCAGACTTTCGAGAGTTTCCAATACCCCCCAAGATGCCTGCGTCACTAGAATCGTGCTTATTGGGGTCTTGTTGCACAAAATGCTCCAGTCCTTTGGGAACATCCTGCTGGTCCCACACTCATTGATGCGTTTTGGGATTGTAAGTGGGCTGAAGCTGCTGCACATTTCGCCTTGATGCTCAAAAAAGGCTTGATCGCGTTAAATCGTGGAAGCTCAAGATTCAACAATCACTGATTTTACCACCGCCTGAAGAATCGTGCTCAAGATGAACCTCCTAACCTTGTCACTGAGCAAGATGGCTCGATCGTTACCCAGCCGCTCAATCATCAAATAATGCGTCGGATTGTGTTTTTGAAGTGAACGCGTGCCATGAGAATCCGGCGCGCATTCTTGAGATGGTGTGGCCTTATATAAAGGATCAATCAGTGCACGATCACCGCTCAGCAACTTTTCGAGACCTTCCAGCGACGGCCCAACCAAGCTACACCAGGCTGTGATGGCTGGAGAACCGAAGAGCTCCAAGCTCCCCCAGCTGCTGATTTTCAGCTCGTCGTGAAATTTTTCACACTCATTGAAGCGTCAGACCAACCGCTACCCATTTCCCTCGTAGGGGCCAAGCAGCGCACACTCAAAGGGAAAGGGCCAGCGGGAAGCAAGTATAGGCAAATGCATCGGTACATGTCCTACCGTGGTTGGATAGCACCAGTGGCTACCACCGCAGCCAATGGAGTGGCCCAAGGACGCAGCCTTTCGCTACTCGCGATGAACGCCTACAACAAAGTGTGATTCCACTTGCTCATGCACCTGCCTGACATCAGCGCTAGAGCCTTCGTAGATGACTCTCATCTGTGGTGCAAGCTGATCAATGTTTCAATTTGGGATCGGGCAATTCAGGTCACTAGAATTTGGGATGAACTCATGGGTTAACAGTTTAGCCTGGCAAGTCGGCTATGTGGGCCTCCAACTCCGCTGGCCGTAAGAAGCTTCGTTCGCTGTTTCCGGAGTTTCCTGTACTCCTTGAGTTTGATGTATACTACTGACAGAAATGCCTGCCAATTTGATCCCCACATGTTGCGCCGCATTCTTGCAGACATTGATCATATTAAAGCTTTGCGCATCCCTCCTAAGGTCAAGAGCCTGTTGATTGGATGGCCAGACTCACGTTGCAATTGTCGCGTGGAGAGGCCCTTGGCCTTTCCTTTTGTGGGTCAAGGCAAGTTGTCTATAATTGGCTAGAGCCTCAGGCAAGAAAGGACCTTACTCGATCCACTGGGTTGCTTGATCATCATTTCAGCCCTTTGCTTTTGAGAGATCAACGTACTTGTGTTCCTGGTCAATTGACACCAGCGCAAAGATTTCATTCTGTAGTTGTGGGGTGTGTCCTGACCAACGACCGCATGGCCGCCTCCGGGCGGGCGTCTTCAAGTACTTGTAGATTCTGCGGCGCAAGAAAAGACTCCATTCGTCACCTGGTGTGTGGGTGCGACTCCCTACATTCCACAGTTGGACCACCAGCTTTGCATCAACTTGGCGAAAATTCTGCGGTGACAGGTATTGCTCAACACCCACGCGATTTCGCCAAGCGCCGCTTGCTCACCATGCCCGTCAAGGACACAACTGTGCCTATGTTCCAGCCTGACCGATGTATTTCCCTTATGGACCGATGGGTCTGTAGCCATTTTTGCTAACTACAGCCATTGTGGGAGTGGAGAACACTGCGCTGAAAAAGGGCATGGTCAATCGACTGGCATTGGGCTCCTATGTTGCTAAAACCGCAGGCTATCTTGCAGGTATGCAGTTTGACTCCTTTTAGGGTTTCTCCGTGCAGTGATTGTAAATCGGCAGTCGAACACGCAAAGTGCATTTTTTGGCGGAGTTGTTGGCAGTGATTGGCGCTGTCCTGATTGGTGGGTCTTCCTAGAAGACCTCTATCACACACGGTGTGTTCATCATCCGCAGCCATTTCATATAGAATAGATACCTGCTCATGCGTTGGAACAGTGCCTGCAGCTTTGATTTCTGACGCTCTTGCAGAGCAGCATGGAACCACGGTGCAGCATATAGCTCACAACCGTACTGCATATCACAGAGCCAAAGAACTTGCCAAAGCGTTGCCGCCGATTTTTCCTGAACTGAAACCAACTCTTCAAAGTGCTGTATTCAATCACCAGTTCACATGTGATGGCGCAACCTGAGCTCACAGTTGCAAGCAGCAATTCCCATCGTGATTCTGGGGGCGGCCCAAGGTTGCCTTCCCATGGAAGCCTAAGATACCAAAGCAGCGGCAGCCACCAGCTAAGTGAAAGCTCCTTGATTGGTGTACTGCCTGCCGGTTTTTGGCCCAGTTACAATGGGTTGAAGGCGAAGCCTTATCAGCTTCCTTTTGCGAAACTCGCTGCGTTTCTTCATTTCGTTGATGTTGAGCAAACCACGTATTCTGCGACTGGCGACGCCTTTACTGAGTAAAAGTGGTGTGTGGTGCAATCCCCTGGTTCGGGGACACTTGTCTCTTTGAGATTGCCAACTTGTTTGCTTGTGGAGCATCCCGTTCGATCTTGTCTTGGAAGGTAGCTGTTGCATGAAATTCTCACTCCAAAGGGGTTTTCTTTTATGCGCTTACGCCAGTGTGCCTGGTACAACACCAGTCACGTCTCACTCGTGACGTTGGCGCGTTTGGTGATGTATATATTTTTTTTGCTATACAGTAGTGCAACTGATACTGTATTCGACCATAGGGCATGGATCTTGGGCAGGTGACGGGAAAAAAATCAAAGCAATGCATCAAAAAAACTCAAAAGAACCCTCTAAACGGATCAAACAGGTGTGAACAAGCATCAACGCAATGCGTCGTCGCGCTGCAAGACAAGGGACCGATTTCCAATCTTGACTCCCTACTATGACGGATGGGAAGCAGTAATGCATGACACGGCAACAAAAAGCAGGCATTGTGGCAAGGCCTTGAAACCATAGAAACGCAATATATATATATACAAATAGAGTAAAGAGACACATGAATAAATAAATGAATGAATGAATAAATAAAAGGCTCGAACACTCAGCGCTCTGCTTTTGCTAAGCAAGGCCGTATTTGTCAAAAAGTTAAATAATCGAAACTGACACAGCAACTGGGTTTCTCTTATCCCCCCAAACAACTGCCGCCAAGCCGAACAGTTGTTGGCTCAGCGGTTTACTGTTTTTAGGATTACCTCCAATTTCTCCGCCAAGCCAAAGAAGCTAAAGCTCATACTGTAATCCGTAGATCAGGTCTTGAAAACACTTCTTCATTAACCTATCGCGAAAAGGAAATGCCCCCTCACATCATCTCAATGTTTTTGCAGAAGACTTCTTGGTCTCCCACACCCCGGCAAGGAGACCTCACACCCCTAACCAGGGAGGGAGAGTGGGACTTTGAGCCGGGCTGCGGAGCACAGAAGCTTACCGAGGTCTCACCTTTACACACGGGGCCGCTAGTACAAAGGCTCCAAGTCTCAGCGCTCTGCTTTTTTGCTAAGCAAGGCCGTATTTGTCAAAAAGTTAAAGAATCGAAGCTGATACAGCAACTGGGTTTCTCTTATCCCCCCAAACAACTGCCGCCAAGCCGAACAGTTGTTGGCGCATGGATTTACTGTTTTTAGGATTTCCCCTACCTTCTCCGCCAAGCCAAAGAAGCTAAAGCTCATAATCCGCAGATCAAGTCTTGAAGACACTTCTTTATTAACCTTTCGCGAAAAAGAAATGCCCTCACGTCATCTCACTGTTTTTGCAGAAGACTTCTTTGCCTTGCCTTCTTTCCAGTCCCCCCTGACCTGGTCGCTTTGCAAACGGGCTCGGCGAGGGTAAAGTATGGTAATGGTGGTGTGAATTCATCAAAATTTGCCAGGGTAAATCGGCGAGTAGGTCCCGTCCAGGGAATCTTCATAGAGGGCAAGGACTGCTAGTCCATCGTTCACATACGTACGTGCAGCGCGGGCATTCTGCCATCGTCCGCGCAGGAGAAGTCTATCTAAAGCTCCCCACTTCGTAAACCAGTATGCGGCGCCACCACGCCTGAGGGAATAAGGGCGAAATTAAAGTTGGGTGAAACCTGCCGCTTCTAAGGTCTCATTGAAAAGTGTCCGCCACTGTGCAGGTTTAGGACACAGGAAAGTCTGCAGACGAGCTTCTTGAGTTCACTTGTGAAGCCATCGCATGACCTGTTCACCCGTACGCAGGACCCCATAGTATCCTACGAGGAGGGACAAAGCAAAACAGCTTTCTTGCGAAACATGGCATAGCCAACCATCGCCACGCAACCCTTCCTCCGCAATTGCCGGAGCCCGGCTTGGGATCTCATTCTGGTTCAACACTTTAAGCAATCGCCAAATGGCCGGGAGATGTTTACGCACATCAGGCTGGGCATCCTGGGCTGCAGCGACTGTGTCGGAAGCCAGTGCTCGACCAAAGCCTTCGGCCAGAGGTGTTCCAAGTACATGCAGAGGAGACGGTCAAGTTCAGGTGCTCTGTCCGGTACTGTAAGACTTTCCTCGCGCAGGAAACTTCAGAATTGCTCCACCACCTTGTTGTAGCGTTGCCTCGTCTTGCTCTGCAGTGAGTGACTGCAGCGTTCCCAATTCAGCTCTCCCTTTCTTTCCTCTTGCGAGCATCCTTCGACATGTACCCTGCCGCTTGTGGACAGGCCGCCGACTGGGAGGGGGGCTTCTGGCTCGATGGGAACCTGACGCCAACAAGGGGGAGTCAATGCATAGTAGAGTGCGCCGCAGCTTGCAGCTGCTGGACTGGCCACGCGCCAACGAGTGTAAGCATACCTCAGAACGACCACGTGGATGAAACGGGTCCGCAACCATGCTTTCTTGGAGAAACGCCGTTTGAGCGCAGTCGACACCGCGCGCATGTCCAGCACATTGACATGTTCTGGCGCTCCCTGCCAGCGCCAGCTCACAACGCGCCATTTCCACAGTTTAGCTGGATACTTGCCCGGAGACGGTGGTACCTCTGAACGTCCTCTGAGGGGGCCTGGAGGAGAAGGTCTTCTCCCTTACCACTTACCAACCCCGTGAGCTTTCGTGCCAACACGCCCTCGTAAGGTTGAACTGGATGTCGGGGAGGTCGCATGTAGGGCCTCAGCAAGAAACCCTGTAGGACAGTGGCACCAGCCGGACAACAGTGCTTCTCAGAGCGCTCAACTCCATTGGTTTGCAACGCCCACGCGGCACGCCCAAACACGAAAGCAGCCAAGCGACGACGAAGACACACCATGAGCTACCCAACAACGACAGCCGCTCGTCCTTCCATGACTCAAACACGGATGGCCCCGTGCTTGTTCGTCAGGCAGAACTCAGCGCGGTATTGATAAGGTGGGAATCGAAAACGGTCTTCACGCCAACGATTGGCCTCCTCAGCAGCGCATTGTCGCAAACCCGCAGGCTTCCGTCCTGGTTCAGAACGCGGCCTACTTGTAGTGAAAGTGGGGAAGCTCTCATTGCTGCACTGGCTCCATCCAGGCTCCAGGAACTGCCCTACTGTGAAGTCAGTCTTGAGATCAACCTCAATGACCTTGGACAGCCCTCACCGAGGAGACTGTGGCTCCAAAGATCTCCCACGACGGCCAGTACAAACGCGGCGACAGCCTGTCACCCCGTTGAGGAACTTCTTCACCTCAAGATACTCCTTGAACTCACAAGCTGTCTGTCTGGCTTCTTTGTTCCTTTATTCTTTCCTCTGTGCTCACTGACAGGCGGATGAGGTGGAGGTTGAGGCCGCCTCAAAAAGAGGCCTCACAAGTGTGGTGGTGGCAACGGAGGTGTCTTTGGCCTTGGAGGTGATGATGGCCTGCTGGCCGCTGCACAAGGTGTGCTAGATCAGGAATGGCTCTTTCCTCTGATCGCGACTCTCGGCGCCTTCTTCTCCGACGCCTCTTCTTCTTTTCCTCGCCTGATCTCTCTTCTACCTCAGCCTCAGGTGGAACAGGAGGAGAGCTGGACAGGTGGAACAGGAGGAGAGCTGGACGCAATCTCCCGTAGTCCCGGCGTCCTTCCTCTGGTCTCCTCGTCTCTATCCGCTTCCTCCTCTTCACTCTTCAACCGCACTCTTCTCTCGCCTGATGGATGCCCCTCGGATGGCGGGGGTGATGACTTCTTCTTTGCACTCAAGGTCCTTCTTGCCTCTTCCTCCGGAACCTCTCTCTTGGGCGGTCGAAAAACTGTCCGGCCTCGATCCTTCTGTTGCCTCTGATGCCTCTGATGCTCGCTTGTCCTCCTCCTCTCTCTCTTCACCCCTTGATGCCCGTGCCTCACTTGCCTGCCTTGTCAAATTGGCTCCTCCTTCTTCTCACCTGGTGTCTCCTGAAGTCCTCCACACTCTCGATGTCCAGGTCCAGGAATATTCCGGGGAGTAGGCAGTGCCGGCGCCTCCCTTACCCCCGGTGGATGCGCGTCCACAAAATCCTGGAGCTCACCCACCAAATTGCGAGTTCTCAGGATTGCGTACGGCACAAAGCCTTCGATCTGCGAACCTGCTGACACGCACCGAAGGAGTCTGCTCAGCGCAGAACAAAGCCCGCACTGGCAGGTCGGCGCGTGCCCCCAGCTCGCTTTCATCAACTTTGAGCCGAGCTGCGGAGCACAGAAGCTTACCGATGTCTCACCTTTACACACGGGGCCGTTAGTACATATATGAGTCGAAATTGTGTGGACTTACACGTTTACGAACTGTATACTTCCTTTAAGATACAGTAATATGTGCATATAATTGTGCATGTAAGCTTGTAGTTATAGTTGGAAGACAAGTGAAAAAGAAGTTATGATCAGCACATAGGTAGAGAAAACATACTGTAAGATTCCAGACAAACCTCGGGACCCAGAGGGGACTAGACACCCCAAAATAAACACTGCTCCAATAACGGGGGTTCCCCCAATTTCAAACGCCTTCACCCAGGCAAGCAAGCAGCTTCCCAGCGACGAAGTATTCCACAAACCAATTGGCTTGTCAAACGACCCCGCATCGAAGAACATGCTGCTCATGTCGGTCACAGCTGATGTGTTCCAAGTTCCAA